TGACTGCTGTCACCCTGGGCACAGTCTAGATCCACAGCCTTGATAATCTGGGGTTGGAACGATAGGTTCAAGCCAGTACATTAGCTTTCAATAAGCAAAAATGTGTAACTCTATATCTCCAAAATTAAGTACATATGTATGACAAAAAGCAGACCTGTTTTGGCAGTAATTTGTTGGGGGGAAGTTGGTCTTCAATTATTTGAAGAAGGAGTGATCTTACCATGGCTTTAGGATTCCCTTTAGGGAAATCCTGCCTGGTTTCCCTGCCCTCCTCTCCAAGCTCTTCTTTTGCCACTGTCTGGGCCACTGGCAAGCTGGTCGAGCAGGACTTCTGCCCTTCTTTAAACTCACCACACTGCCCATGCCAGCCGTGGGCTTTTGTCTGTTTGGTTCATGCTGCCTCTCTTGGCATGAATGCCCACTTCTCAACTGCCCCACTTGCCTGGTTAAAGCCTACTTCTGTTCTCTTCCAGGCCTAGATGTCTCAGTCCTGTTTAATCTGCTCATGTGGAATCCTGCCATGCTGTACCACTGCAAGCATGTCATCTCTATTCAAAGCCATTTGAAAAACATCTGCTTTTTCCCTGGTCTGTAAGCTCCTTCAAGATAAGAACCATGACAGTTCTGCTCCCCTGTTCCTCCACAGCTGGCACTGGGTGTTGCACAGAGAAGCTCAGTAAATATCAGTTGAAAAACTGACGACAGTACAAACAGCAGATCTATGGAAAGGGGTGGGGGCAGGGGGCAAAACAGAGGAGAGGAGAGAGACCAGGCTCTGTGTTTGGATGGCTGTGTCCTTCCATTTGGTGATAGTTCAGATTTACTATGAAGAGATCCCAGTTTCAAATTCTTGAATAAGCATTCTCTCCGAAATTGGAGGGGTTGGTATAATAGAGTAAAATCCTGAAAAATAAAATGATTCTTCAATTCTGGATGGTCAAGGAGACAGGAGGACTGGCCCTTGCCCTGGGGCTTCAGTGCTAATCACTTTCGTGAACCTTTTTAGGCATAAGAAAGAATCAAGATAACTAGACTGTCAGTCAGTTAGAACCCGGGGGAGTGTTGGGTTGGTGCCTGCTCTGCCCAGTCAGAGGGATCCAGAAGAAAACTCATCTCCTATTTCTCTTTTCTTTACCCCACCACATGTTTGTGTCTTTCCAGCCTTCGTATATTTGAATCAGCCGTCTCTCAAGGAGAACTCAGTACTGAGCGCACATAGGCTGTGCTCCTTGAACAAACAGCCAGCAAGGTGTTAACGCCATCATTTTATTTTACTCCCCAGGCAGTTGGCTGATGTGGCTGCCATTTCAGATGGAGGAACATTGCAGCCCAAGTGAGAATTTACTCAAAATGTATTCAAATCACATTCTTTTTTCTATATTACCTCTTAAATTTTACAACTAGGCTGTTGTTATTAATGTTGTCTTTGGGGATCAAAGAAATTACCACTGTTTGGATGAAACAGAAATATCTGCTATGTTATCAGAGAGGGAAACACAAATAAGACATAATTAAAGTACTGTTGTGTGTCGCTGCTATCTTGTCTAAGAAGTGGGCTCATCACTTTCACAGGAAAGACAAATCAGCTTTCCAGGATTCAATAGGAAGTAGGGAATACAATAACTTTTCCACATTTGGACTCATCTTCTTCTAATGATTTCTATCTTTTCTGAAATCTTCCTCACTTTACAAGGTCTCATTCTATTATTTACAAAGGAAGAAATTTTTGTGCTAACTAGAAACACAGACCTCGGAATGAGATGCCAAGACACTGACCTCAAGAGACAAAGGCATGACTCATTTATTTTATGTGAAGAGTGCAGAGCATCTGTAAGCACTGAGCGGTGATAAGCTTGATGGAAGACAGAGCTGGGTCCCAGGGTTCTGCAGCACCAGAGGGAAGGTAGGCCTGGGGTTAAGTCCTGGAGTCTTTATCTGCTCCTCTGACTCTAGCAGTCAGACAGGAAAATGAAGCTGAAAGTGCAAAGTAGCCTGCAGCCTTCACATGATGCACAAAAGGAGTGTTTCTGATGATCTTTTAAAAACATTTTTCAAATTTCACCAATTATGTGAAAACAGGCCTTGAGAACAGGTAGGGGGCAAAACCAACTATTTTTGCCTTTTCCTGTGAAAACTTACTGATGAGGGGCAAGTTAGTGATAAGTGTATGCTAACTTTGCAAGATTCTAGCCCTTGTTCTCCAGTCAATAATTGACCACACAGACAGTCAGCTGGAGGCTACACTTGTCAGAAAAGTACACAGATCTTTCTTATCTTGATGACCAAGTTTCAGGGCCCTTTGAAATAGTGTACCAGTCACTGAGGTAAAAAGAAGTTATGGTGTAGACAAAATACAGCACGGCCAAGATTTCATTAGGGAGTGAAGTTTTTGTTTGCTTTCTGTTTTCCCCAGCCCCTCAAAGGCCTCTCACCTGGCTGCACAAAAGCTATGGAGTCACTTGAATGGAAGGGTCAGGTTGCAAGCTGTGAGGCACAGCAGCCAGCAAGCCCTGTTCAGACCACCCAGCTCTCCAAAGGGGAGCTACATCAGATTCAGACAAGATAAGAGACTGCCCTTCTCAGTGACCTAACCCAGGGAGACAGACTCAGTGACCTAACCCAGGGAGGCAGTTACACGATCCCACGGTGGGGGATATTTGCAAGCCCTGAAAGGGGACATTTGTCTAACTGAACACACAAGTGATACTGATTATTGTGAGAATAAAATTAGTAAGATGCAATTTGTGACTTTTGAAGCAAAACAGCAATCTGAGTCTTTGGGCCTACACCCAAAATGCTAAAAAGACTTAAAACCCATGTCTGAATTTGGAAGACTGAGCTAGTATGAAAATACCAGCTAGAACAATACACAAACTTGGGGCTGGGTATGTAGCCCCTTAGTAGAGAGCCTACACAGGATAAGCAGGCCCTGGTTTGATCCCCAGCATGGAAGATAGGCATAATATGCTCAAACTCATTGAATCCACTTTATTTTACTACCAGGAAGGCAAGTTTAGAGAAGGTGGTTGGCTAGTCTAAGACTAGTTAGCCCTGAGATTGGTAATGCTACCTGCACTGGTCATGTTGAAATCCTTAGAAACTAGTTACTGAGCCTGGCACCAGGCAAGAGAAGAAAGGAACGGGCTTGGATAACTACGTCCTACTTTCTTTTCACTATAAATATTGAATACCATAAAATGTGGCGCTGGATAGAGACTGTTCTGGGTTTCATATGTTGTCCCATGAGGACCACAGCATAATGAAGAACCACTTCCTGTTCAGTCACTGAGGGTGGGCCCAACACAAACTCAATTTCTAGAAATAAGACTCCTGCATTTTCAAGAAATCCAGCTCCATGCAGCCCAACTCAGTCCAGCCTAGCCCCAGCATCAGAGCATTCCTGGTAGGCTGATAATGAAGAATGGCCCCAGACAAGCATTGCTTAGCTCTGAGAAGCCAAGAGGGCTGCATAGGCCATCACCTGACAACATGGCATCACCAGATACCTGCACACAAATCCCTTTCTCACCCATGGCAATGGAGAGAGAGGTAGATAGGGCATCAAGGGAAATGAAGCTGAGGTTGGTGGGAAGGCTGGTTAAAAAGCCCTGATTTGGCAGTCAAACTTGCAAACCCATGCTGCACCCGATTTGCATTCAGTATAGACTCACGCTTAAGCTCAGGCTTATTGCTTAGACATGAAGTTTGATATTAACCAAATGCATGACAAGAATTTAACTGCCAAAAAATGTGTATAGCAATGCTTACTCAAGTGTGATATACCTAACATTGGATTCACCTGTAAAGATTAACCTGTAAAGGCTTAACCCTGGCTCTAAAAGCATTTGGTGGCAGAGACTAGGCATGTCTTTTCACCAAGCCCAAAGGGCTTTCTTCTACTTCTTCTTTTATTATTTTTTTCTAAGGCAAAGTCTTGCTATGTTGGCCAGGCAAGCCTCGAACTTGTGATCCTCTTGCCTAGGCTTCTGAGTACTGGGATTACAGGTGTATGTCACTACATTAGGTTTAGGAGGTTCTTATCCATGTTAAGTTTTGAGAGTTCAGGATAGAAGGAAAAAGAGCAAATGTAACTGGCACTGTCCTGTTGTTACCCATAAAGCACTTTCTCTGTGGATAGCAGGATGGGGATACTAACATAAACCTTTTGAGCTTTGTAAGAGGCAGGAAGGGTCATGATTTTCCAGAGCCAAGCCTGAAGAGAATCTGGGTCCCTCCTTACTTAGGTCTGCAAAGCAGCCCTGAAGAGGTTAATCTCTCCAGAAACATTCCTAGCCTATAAACACTAACCAGCCCCGGAAATGCTCTTTCTAAGCTTTGTAATTCACACCACTCCTCGGGACTGAACACAATAGTAAAAAAACAGAAACGAATTAAATGCCTTGCAAATGATTTCTGTGATACCGATGAAAACTCCCAGAAATTATTTACTATATCAGCAAAGCTTCTGGACCAAATCTCAGCAACAAGATGAAAGAGCCTAAAAACAACAGACAAAAACTTCAGAACAATGTGATTTCTTTGCTTCCCTAACCCTATCTTTCATCTCTACAAAATTGAACTCATACTTTCAAAGAATGTACCCAAATGTAGCTAAGCTAACGCAAGGCTATCCAGAAAACAACCACATTCTAGATTTGTATACCCTGAGGATATTATTTGTCTGTTCATTTTTGCATCTTTTATCTTTGCCATTTCATTTAGCTGAGAGAAAATACTCCAACTTCAGGGGAAATGTCCCAGAATTTTAAGTCACCTATTTCATTGACAAGAGCCACTGGGAAAGAGGTCAGAAGAGTCACGCAGAGTATCATTCCCAACTTTGTCATTCGGTTTGGTCTCTATGTGTTAATGGGAGAATTAAACTTTCACAAGCCATCTCTGTAGACTGCTTACACTGAGTCTCAAAGTAACCCACCACCGGGACAGTCTTCTAACAACAGTCACAAGAAGAGGAGAGGACACAGAAAACAGATACTTACAGGTAGTGGGTTTCCTGTCCAAGCCAAAAAGCTAGAGACCTTTGGAAGTGGCAGGCGGGAGAAGTCACTGACCTGGTAATCTGGTTTAAAGAGCTTTCAGAGGAAGGAGGAGGAAAATCATCCCAGAAGGAGAGCTGAAATTCCAGTCTTTCAGGTCAGCTGAGTTTGAGTTTTCTTTGTACTAAAAATCCACTAACCCACACAACACAAAAACAGACACAGAATGGAAGTTCCCAAACATACTCCCCTTGCTCCTCTTCTCCAAAGCTGCTGCTGTGACTTTGAAAACTTCCTTCCCCAGCGCCAAGTTTCAGGACTCCCCAAAGAAGGGCGTGTTAAGGAAGGCGTATTAAGGATGCCTGCAACTGTTTGCTGGGAGCCCGACTTCCCTGGCCGAGAGCCACAGCTCCCATCCCTTCTTCTGGTTGGTCAGCAGGGACAAGACTGAGCTTTTGTTAATAGGTCGGTTACTTCTTTCCCAGCCTCCTTTCTCACTATTAGTGATGTGCTAATTGCTCTGCTGGTGGCTGGGCTGAAGCAGTCTCTACCGCCAGCAGCACAGGGACACACACACACACACACACACACACACACACACGCACGCACGCACGCACGCACGCGCGCGCACACATACATGCAAATATCCGCAGGCTCGGACACACCATGACTCATGTACATGCATGCTCATGCTACACACGCACAAACACTCACAGGCATGAATATACACTGGTGCATGTGAATGCATACTTATGCTAAACACACACCCACACCCACGTACACAGTCTCTTCAAACACATTTTCCCTCCACCTCTTTTCCTGGAATTCAAATTCAGGCTATGCCCATTGAAAAAGGCTGAGGGAGGGGACTGGCCCTTTTAAACTTTCATCATGGTATTTAAAGGAAAAGATCTCAGCGGGGCGTGGTGGCGCACGCCTTTAATCCCACCGCCTGCAGAGGCAGGCGGATCTCTGAGAGTTCAAGGCCAGCCTGGTCTACATAGTGAGTTCTAGGCCAGCTGGGGCTACAGGGAGACCCTGTCTCAAAAAGACTAGATCTCAATTCCAGGTTTTCAAAGACCACCTTAGCTATTCATTTGTGAAACATTTCATGCGTCTGCTGCTTCAGATAGATGCAGGTCAAGAACTATCCTCTTTTTTTAAATATTTTATTTATTATTTTTATTTTATGTGTATGAGTGTATTGCCTGCATGTATGCGACTACACCGGTGTCGTGCAACGCCACGGAGGTCAGAAGAGGCCTTTGGATCCCCTGGAACTGGAGTTAAGGAAGGTTCCTAGCCGCCGTGTGTGTGCTGGGAATCGAGCCCGGGTCCTCTGCAAGAGCAGTCAGTGCTCTTAACCGCTGAGCAATCTCTTGGGGCTTTAGAGATGGCTCAGCCGTTAAGAACTGTCCTCTTAACAGATACTAACTAAACTCGGGATCCAGCAGGTAAAAGTCTTTCCTTAACAACTGTTTAATGAAATATTTTCCCCACCAGGGGTAAAAGCAGCTTACCTTCTGGCTGAACGTTTCAAATAGCCATAATGGAAAAGTTGGAGCATGACCTCCATTTGGGGGACTCCATATAGAGACTTGTCTGTTAGTATAAACCTTAACCCAAAGCACAAGGCACTGCAGGGGGCTGGAGTGATGGCGCAGCAGTTAAGAACACTGGCTCTTACAGAGGACCTGGGTTCGGTTCCCAGCTCCCACAAAGCAGCTAACAACCCTACACATCCAACACCAGTTCCAGGGGATCTGGCACCCTCTTCTGGCCTCCACAGGCACTGCACAGCAAGTGCATTTGCATACATGTAGGCAGAACACTCATACACATAAAATAAAAGTAAATTTTTAAGTAAATAAATAAACAGAGGAGGCTGGAGAGATGGCTCAGTGGTTAAGAACACTGACTGTTCTTGCAGACGACCCAGGTTTGAATCCCACATCTACATGGCAGCTAGCGACTGTCTATAACTCCAGTTCCAGGGGATCCGACAGCCTCTTTTGTCCTCTGCTGGCACTGCACCACACAAGTGCACTTACATGCAGGCATAACACTTATACACATTAAATGAAAATAAATAAAATTTTTAAAAAGGAAACAGAAATAAATGCTTTCCATGGGAAAATGCTCCAGTATTCTAAGCAAAATATGAGCATAGATTTTAACATATTTCAAAGTACCTACAATCTTTGTAAAGTTATTTATATGTGTGAAGCTTGCTGTAGAATAGGCAGTACAAGCTGGCTAAAATGTCCTGAAATCTTATGTAAATAAGTCACTAGTTATATCTTCCATAAAGAGTAACTCAAAGGAATCATAGTTTATCTATTTTAATCAACAGGTATTTATTTGTTTTTACTTTATGTGTATGAGTGTTTTACCTGTATGTATTTAAAGGTTCCACATGCATGTAATGCCCTTAGAAGTCAGGAGAGGATCATGGAGGCCCTGGAACTGGAGTTATGGACAGTTCTTAGTCACCATGTGAGTCTTGGGAACAAAACCCCAATTCTCTGTAAGAGCAGCCAGTGTTCATAACTGCTGAGCCACCTCTCCAGCCCCTCAATAGGTGTTCTTCGAAAATCAGTTAAAAGGCAAAGCCAAGGTAGTTACTAAAACAGCCAGAGAAACAGCAAAGAATTCCTCTAAGTGCATGTGCTGCCAAACTAAGTGTTGGAACACATTTTATTTCTCGCCTTGACTGGAATGATAGGAAAATATAAAATGACACTTACTGGAGATTGTTGGTGGGGGACAGAGACACAGCTCCACACTGCCACCCTCCACAGCCTAAAGAGCTCCCCTAGACTTTCAAGGACCTCAGTTCAGGACAAACCAGAACTTGTGGCTTCAACACTAAAAAGAATTTCAGGGTTAGCCAGTTTATGAAGCAGAGTTAGAGACTTTATTAAAGGCATTTTAATATAGGATTAAGCAGGAAATTTAAGAGAGAGGTGCTCAGAAGAAAATAAATCACACCTTGGAGAACGGGATCGGCTTCTCAAAGAGTCACGTTTCAGGTATCCCGATGGTAACTATATAGAATTTTGGAGGCTTTTTGGGAATTTCATTGTTCATTGGATTTCTGGGGACCCCATCCTTCCTCTACCTACTTCCTTCTTCAGGAATTGAGATTACAGTTTGGCTCTGGAGGTGCCTTGAATGGGATTACAATCTGATAAACTAAAACCAGGATAATTAAAGTTGCACAAGGGGTTTAGCATATGCACTGTCTACATAAATGGGGCTTCTGGAAGGAACCCTGGAAAATGGCAGGTTTACAGCTGGGAGTGGAGGAAGGCCTTAACAGTTGGTAATTACTCTGGAATTCATGTTTCTCCTCTGGGGTTGTGTGTTATTTCAGGGTGAGGGGGAAATTTCCTTCCCCTTCTCATGACCCCCCAATTTTCCCTATTTTTCTATCCTGCCTCAAGTGTATCTTTCTGGATTGTAAACATGCTCGATTTTATGGAATTGCTGTAAATATAGCAATGTCTGAAGAGCACACACATAAAATCAATGGCACCTTATAAAAGAGTTAGGAGTGTACCCTTTAAACTGTGCTGAAGGCCCTTAGTACAGAGGTGGAATCCATTGCCCTGTGGCTGTGATGGGGGCTCTCCAGTCTATGAGACTGGATGGCTGTGGGAAACAGAACCTATCACCCCAGGAATGGAAAGATGATGCATGTCACACTCTAAATGAAGAGCAGTCAAACAACAAAAGAATATAAGCACCCAGCAAGCCAGGTTTGGAGGGGAGGCTGGCTGACCTCACCATTCAGAGTTAATTGTGTCGAGGGACATCAGGGAGTAAAATAACCCTTGATAAAATATCCCAGGAGAACTGCAGAAGTCTATGTAAAATCCCAGACAACATCTGCAAAGCAAATACAACCCAGCATTTTAAACTATTTTATGACCAGTAGATTATCTTTCAGGATTGTAAGAGGGTCAAACACGAACATCTAGCAGTTGAACGTATTAAAAGAGAAAGCTGGGTATGATGGCACAGGCTTGTAATACCAACACTCAAAAGTGAGACAAGTTCAAGGCCTACTTGGGCTACATAGCAAAGCCCTGTTTCAAAAAAACCAAAAAACAAAACACCACTCCACATGTATGCATACACAAACACGTATATACACACACACACACACATACACACACACACACACACACACACACATATATGGAGGACAAAATACATCATAATAGTTATAGTTTAGATCTGAAGTATCTCCCAAAATCTCATGTGCTAAATGTTTGGTGCCAGCATATGGAACTATTGGGAGGTGACGAAACCTTTGGGAGAGGAAATTAGGTCCATGGCAAGCACTCTTGAAGAGGGTATTGAGACTGTTGTCTGCCTCCTCCTCTCTTTCTCTCTTTGTCAGACTTCTACTCACTTAAAAATTGAATGATTTGGTTTTTATATATTTTAGTTATTACTTTTATTTTACGTGTATGAGTGTACTGCCTCCATGTATGTAAGTGCACTGGTGTCACGCAATGCCTGCGGATGTCAGAAGAGGGGGGCGGATCCCCTGGAACTGGACTTACAGACAGTTGTTAGCTGCCATATGGGTGCTGGGACTCAAACTTGAGTCCTTTAAAAGAGGAGCCGGTGATCTTAACTGCTGAGGAATCTCTCCAGCCCCAACATGGTATTTTGCTGCTGAGGGAGCCATAAGACTTCCCTGCAGATTTTGGTTAGGAATCCCTTCTCATGTTTACATGATTACAAAATTACATGTTTACAAATATTTTCCTTTTATAGATTGCTTTTCTTGCTTTGCTGGTTGTATTCTTTGCTGTGCAGAAGACTTAAATTTTGATGTGGTCCCACTTACTTCATTCTGCTTTTCTCATTTGGCTTCTAGGACTGTATCTATGGAGTCATTGCCAAGCCCAACACCAGTAACTACATCCTGCGGTTTCTTTGAAATTTTGCAGGTTCCAATCTTTAATATGCTTTGAGCTGATGGTTGAGGGACCACTTCATTCTTTGATGTGTTAATGTGCAGTTTTTACATATGTGTGGATTTATTTCTGGACTCTCAGTTCTGCTCCGTGGGTCTCTATATCTGCTCTTACATCTTGATAAGATTAAAAATGACACAACCACAACAGAAAATGGCCTGGAAATTGATGAAGAAATTAAAACTAGAACTAGCATATGATCTAGCCATCCTCCTCCCAGCTGCCTATTTATAAGGAGCCAGAGTCTCAAAGAGGTATTTCATACCCTGGTTCTGGTTTGGTTTCTCTACTTGCTTCCTTGTCTGCTGCCATGGCAAAATCTTTACCACATGCTCCCACCACTGTGCCCTCTCCACCTCAATGGACTGAAATCTCT